GGAAAAAATAAACAAAATTAAACCCTACCTCATACCATATAGAAAATCAAGTTCAGTTGGTTTAAAGTCTGAAAGGTAAAAATAATTGAAATCATAAATCATTTAGAATACAATACCGAAAAATATCATCTTGGGGTGGTAAAGGTTTCCTTACACTAAATATAAAGCATATGAAGAAAACTATTGATGAAGTTGACCATTAAAGTTTCTTTTCATGAAAATGTACTATACTAAGTAAAAACATGACACATAACTGAGAAAGGATCTGAATCCACAATACAGATCAGGACACAGACACACAGACACACACACACAGCCTAATTGAAAATGAGTAAAATATTTAAGTAATCAATTCATAATAGAAATGTGCACTGAAAATAAACCTAGTAAAGGCTGCTCAACCACATGAGTATGCAAGAAAACATGAACTGAGTTGGTGATGGTAAAGGCAGTCTTCCATACCCTTCAGACTGCATAACATGAAAATATCTGCCAAAGCTAGTATTGCCAGGATGTGGATCAAGGGGAGCGTGATTAAATTTAAGTTTCTTTTTAACTGATAAAAAGTGTGATACCATAAAATGTTTCCATTCATGTAGGCTGTAATGGTCACGTCAAAGTAAATCTCCCTAGTCTCTCAAATCTATGTCACTTCTTTATGCTAAAACATGTAAAATCCTTTCTTCTAACCACACAGTCCTTATCTACAGTCAGCCTACTGTGCAGGGGCAGAGCAGAGGACTGTAACTCTGCTCCTGGTGGATAGCTTGCCCCAATCCTTAGCCCCCACTCCCACAGCCTCTGAGAAGCACTGATTCACTCCCAGCTTCTATGCCATCAACCAAGAGAAGCTCATAGTGCTAGATATGACCTGTTAAACAATTTAATATTGAATGCGTTTTACTTTACAATCCAGAAATCCTCTCCTGGGTGGTACACAAACTAGAAAAACTATTATACCATATGTGAAAAGGTATAAGTAATATGTTCAAATTCCCTGTGATAGAAAAAATTGTCATCAGAATGTGAATATGATAGAATCCTACAATCTGCTGTCATTCAGTAGTTACTGGTAGGGAACAATATGACAGTGACACACATCAAGACTAATCATCCTTACAAACACAGTGTTGATTTATTAAGACCCAAAAACAACTTACAAAAGGATACTTACTGCACTGCATTATTTACGTAAAGGGGAAGGATGCAAAGTACCATAAACAAACGCTGTTAGCAGCAAAAATGGTCAACATTCATGAATGGACCAAAAAAATTTAAGAATGAGGTTACAGGGAGGGAGGCAAAAGTTGGGACAAAAGACTTCAATCATATCTACCATGCTTTCCTTTTTCAGGTCTGTGGTCGGTACATCAGAGGCTATTGTGTTTCTTACATATTTCAAATGTGCAAATTAATATTTATAAATGAAACATTAATACTCCAAAACAATTCAAATTCTTAATAAAAGAGCATTCTATTTTGCTAAAACAGAATTATTTATCTAAGAGTACAACTTCACAATAAAGATCATCTAACAAATTCATCGGAAGAAAACTCTTACTAACGTACTGCGATTTCCTCTTCAGATCTTGTCCCTTATTTGCAAAACCAATCACAACAAAGTAACGTTCTCTGGCCTTATGGTACTAGTTGACCTACCAAACTTCAACAATTCTGTGCTTTTTAGAATCTTTACTCCTACATCAAAATTTAACAAAGTTTTCTATATTATCTTCAACCAGCAACATCAAATTAAGCAAATCATATTAACAGTACTTAAAGCTGAAAATATCATCCTTTCCCAAAGTAGTCTTATTTTAGTCAAGAATTACCAGAGTTTAAGACAAGGATGGCATTTCAATCATCCAAAGAAAAGTAGCAGGAAAATAGTTGGCACCTGATTGTTTAATATCACTGGGTCTTTTTATTTTCGAATAAGGTTGTTCCTACATATCTTAAGAAGAGATTGCAATTTCAAAGATTTAGTGGAGCGAATCAAAGAACTTGATTAAGAACTTGCAAAGTTTTATAGCTTTAACATCTAACCATTTACAGACATGGCGTGAAAAGCTAGGCCGTTAAACTACTTGTATCTACTCTTTTAAATTATGATGGTTTTTGCGTTGGACTTGTGGCTGAACAACATGCAAATGATATTTAGCGTTTATCTTTCTCTGGGTGTCAGACAGTCACCTGCTTTCCTGAGGGCTGATGGCAGAGCAGTGAGGTTTACAGACAGCACCTACATTTGCATTTCAATAGTTTCATAATTCCATGAAGCCTCATTGCTGGGACAGTGAAGGTGGCCAAATTTTCTTCAAGATTCAGAAGATTCTTACAGTGAAAGAATCAAGTCATTGTATGCAAAGTCTAGTGAATGTTCTCTCTCACTCTTTTCTTTAGTACTAAGTTTATGTTTTCATGGTGAACATCTTTTCTCTGTTTGAATCTTTATAAACTAAAATCAAGATTGTAAAATAGGACAAAGGAGAATAGAGGACATATGGGACCCCAAAACTTTCTTTCTCCTCAATGGAAAAAAAAGGTTGCTTTTTCTTGGAAAAATAATTCCACTAACCACATAAAAAGGTCGCTAGAGCAGGAGATACGTTGACCATTTGCAAAGATCTGCACTTATCATAACCGGCTGCGATTGTGAGGGAAGAAGCCTGTGAAACATTTTGGTACAGGGAAAATGTTCTGGAGTTATGCTAAAAGAAATTCTGAGTTCAAGGGCAAGGAAACTGAGTACCTTTTTGAGGTGAGCACTACATGCCTCCTGAGAAGTGTGGTTCCACAGGACAGGTACAGGAAGTGGATTAAGTTAAAAAAATATGTGAAAATGGGGTGTGAATTGTATTCCAAACAACCGGAAACCCATGTAGGTTTGCTTTAACTGGAAAAGGGCTGTGTCCAATTATTTTTAATAGGCTTCAATTCACGTGTGAAATTTTTAATATCACCCCACCCAGCTGAGACACTAAATCACTAAATATCGTGCAGTGCAAGATATTTAGCAAGACAGAATCGTGGAGGTAAGAAAAAAGAGCTCAGCAAAGTTCGTTTTAAAATCTTTTAATATTGTTTTCCATTTCATTGCCATGTTCGTAACCTGTTTCATGGTGTTTTGTAAGACTTTAATGAAGATAATGTGGCTTCTTTAAATATATTCTCACTTCTTTTACTGTGTGTATAATAGTGAGCTGTTGTCTTTCAAAGTGGGCCCACCTTCCTGGTCCAGATAAAGCACACCGTCAGCCTTTCCTGGGGTCTCTACAGGTGAGGTCTCAGCCTCCAAAGTTTCTTCCTAGCCACTTCCCAGCAACCAGGAGAAATGATTTTTATTCTCGAAGACGTTAATGTTCCAATCCAGGAATACAAGAAAGGGCTTCAATACATTTCACACACTATCTGACTGCATAAGCAATTAAGGATAAAAGGGAAGATTCCTTCTCTTGAAAAAAGGAGAAAGAGGAGATTACCTACAGTCCACAAAAGAATGATTCCATGATCATAAGCCCATTTTAATTTTAAGAGATGGAATTCATCAGACCTGCAAGTCTAAATATAGCACAAGCGTCATCGATGTGGGTTTCAACATATTGCTGCTCTGAGAGTTTAAAGGAAAGTATGTACAAAGTAAGCGTGCATGCCTTTATCAGAAGAGTGTGAATGTGTGTGCGCGCGCTCTCGCGGGTGCACGCGCGCGTCCCCGGGTTTTGGGCTGGAGGCGGGGCGGTGACTGCATGAAGGGAAGTTGGGAAACCCCTTCTGTCTCTGCTCACCCCTAGAGCAGCAATCTTGGCTCTGGAAATAAGAAGGGGACGCGCGAGCCGGCACCAGGGTCTCCGCCTTGACTGACATGAAGCTAGCGGCGCCGCAGGCAGAGACTTTTCTCCGCGGCAGCCAACAACCTGCAACAGCCGGGCGGGCGGGGGAGGAAACCCCGAGGAGGCGCTCCCGGCCGCCCCTTTGCTGAGATAGCAGGAGCCGCAGCCTGCGGAGCGGCGAGCGCGGCGTCACCGAGCTGCGCGGTGCAGGGCGCGCGGGCGGGCGGCGCGCAGGCCCGGGAGCCGCTCCAGCCGCAGGACGCCGCTCCGCGCTGCGCCGCCAGCGCCCGAGCCTGCGCCGCGTGCCACCTGCCCCGCGCGCCGCGGGCGACACCGGACACGGGCTGCACGCGGGCAGGCGGTGAGGACGGCCTGCCCCGCTCCTCCGGGAAGCCAGGTCCCGGAGCCGCTGTGCGCTCTGCGGGACTGGAATTTTTCTCCCTTGCAACTGGAGGGAGCCCGCGTAGAGGTCAGAGCGGCAGCCCAGGAGCTCCGAGGAGCGGCCGGGGGGGCTGTGACCATGGTCCTCGCTCCTGCCCCTGGAAAATCTCCGTGACATTTTTCACACATTGAAGAGGCTGCAGCTGGTGTCGTCGGAAAAGGGGGTGGGAAAAAAGAGGGGGCGGGGAGAGCCGGGAGACACCGGCAGGAGCCCGGAGCAGCGCCTCCCCGCTCGCCAAGCCCGGCACCTGTGCGCGGAGCCGCGGCGCAGACGAGGACCCCGACCCGGCGAACCCCGGGCTGGAAGCGGAGAACACCAGCGCCCGGGCAGCGCGTGCTCGCCAGCGGGACCCGCACCGCCCACTCGGGCCACCGCCGCAGACGCAGCTGCGGGAGCGCACGACCGCCGCTCGGAGCTGCACGCGGCGCCCGGGTTCCCGGGATCTCCGCCCGGCACGCGGCGCTACGGAGCGGGGCGCACGATTCGCCCTTCCTGCTCGTCGCTTCTCCTCCCAGGATTTATTGTGTGTGGAGCCTCCTGGGGGCGGGGAGGGAGCCGCGCCGCCGCCGCCGCCGCCGCCGGGGCTGCGGTCGCTAGCGCGGCGCGCTGGGCAGGCGGAGGCCGGGGAGGGGACGCGCGCCTGCCCCCCGCGGCGCTCCGGGCTCCCCGGCCGCTCCCCGCGGGAACCTCTGCAGCCGGCCACCTGAAGGGCGCCGGCGACACCATGGTCTAGCGTGGCACCTGGTCGGAATCCCCTCGCCCGCCTCCGCCTCCTCTCGGGACCCGCGTGCCCACTCCACTGCAGACCCCCCGGCACTTTAAGGAATAATCCTCGGCAGCTGCACAGCGCACGCTCTCCGGAACCTCATGGGCAGCTTCTCCTGCGGGCGATGTGAGTGGGGCGCCCGTGGTGGCCGCGGGGGTGGTCGGGGGGCCTGGATGCAGGAGGCGTGTGCGGGACCCCGCGAGGATGGGCTCTCCCGAAGCTGCCGGTGCGGTAGCCAAGGAGGCGGCGGCGGGGGCTGAGCTGCGGGGCATCTGGAAACTGGGTGCTGGTGGGGCGCGTGCAAGGGAGTAGCGAGCCGTTGGCTGGCTGGGGAGAAACCCTAAAGGGTTACATACTGCGAAAAGGAAAGGTAAAAGCGAGTGCTGGACGCTGCTGCCCGGACTACGGGTCCAGCGGAGGTTAGGCCTTGCACCTCTATTCTTTGGGGGTCTCTGGTCATCTTTTCCCCAGAGACATGTGAAGGCTGCAGCGCGTGTTGGCCACACACACACACTTGTGGCAGGTCTCGCTTGTTCCTCATCTAAGCAGGTGTTGTATTGCTGCTTTGATCTTTGGTTAAAATGCAATTCGTTGTCTTTATGACATTTGAGGATTCAGAGGACAAGGTGGGGTTTGGGGGATGCAGAGGGTCAAGAAGCATGAAAGACTAGGAGGGCAGAAAGTGGGGTGCAGTGGGGTAAATGCTTTCCTCCGGAGTCGGAGAGAAAGAGCCTCCCTCGCCCTGCGCCTGGCAACTCCAGCCCACAGGGCTCCTTTGTGTTCGCGGGAAGCTAGTGGACCTGCGCTATTCCCAGCCCGGCCTGGGCCCCTGTGCGCCTCCTCTCCGAGTCGTTAAGGATGCAGGACTTGTTCAAATCCTGCGTGGAGAGAGGGAGGGAAACCCTATAGGACCGGGGAGACCCTGTTGCCCAGGCTCTGGGAACCTTAGGTCGCCTACCGGAGTCTCCAGTCTTACTAGGGTTTTTAAAAGAGAGAGTCGAAAATGGGCTGGTGGTTGTACACATCGCCTGGAAAAATAGTGGGACTTCCTGACAACGGCCGGGCGGCTGCGGAATTGCTTCGTGACACTACTTCTCTCGGCCTTCAGGGCTGAATAAAAGACCCGCCTCCGCCCTCTCCTCTCTGGCAGCGCTGTCTCCTCCCCGGGAGAGTCACAAAGCCATCGGGTTGGGCGCAAGGGCGCAGTGCGAGGCGGGGAAGGGAAGAGAAAGAAGGGGTCACTTTCGCAACTCTGGGGGATCGGCGGCTTGGGAGGGGATCCATCTGTGACTCCCAAGTTCCTGTCGAAGTTTTCCTTCCCTGGGAATTACAAAAGGCAGGCGAGGTGGGTGGGAGTCGGGAAGAGCCAGGGTCGGTTCTCCACCTGCTCTCCACGACCACTTTTCCGAGGCGCTCTCCACCCCACCCAGTCTACCTGCCCTGTAACTGGGTCAGCAGGTAGCTGGGCATACCTGGAACCGTGGCCCAGAGGCTCTCTGGATGGAGGGAAAGCAATCTGTGAGCACATTTTAACCTGGGCAGAATTTCCAAGCACAATAGAGATTTTACAGCGTGGGCGAGCAGAGTGCATTCCATAGAAAGCAGGACACGTGATCCCTCCGAGGGGAGAGAGATACAGTATTAGGAACTGGATTTTCTTTGTTCCAGGCTCAGCCCATGGATGCTTAGCATCCTAGTTCCTGGAGTCCTCCTTTAAAGGAAACAGTCATAATAAAGGGAAGGAGGAGGGGGAAGGGAGAGGGAGGGAGCATGGGGAGGAGGAGAAAGTGGAGGAGCGGAGAGGACGTGGAGGAGGTGGAGGAGAAGGAGGAGAAGGAGGAGGAAGAGGAGGAGGATAAAGTTGACCAGAGGAGAGAACAGAGCACAGGTCTCAGAGAGTTGTCCCTGAAGCTCCTGGAACCTCCTGTCACATTTTGTTTTTTAATACCCACCTTGCATCTCCAATGCTGCCCCATCAGGCCCCTGTTTTTATGGGAGGCGTTCTCCGTGGGAGACGCTAGTGGGAAAGTTCTCCTGCCTCTGCACACGTGGGTTTCCCAGCGCCTCAGCACCTGCTGTCATTGGCAGCAGATCGTGCCACCTCCCAGTGTCATGCTTCAATTCAAGCAGCCTGAAGCTGACTTACTGGAGATTTTTTTTTTTTTTTCCCCCGAAAGAATGTGAAGCTGTCATGTCCTGGATTCTTGGAAACTAGTGATCACACCAGGGAAAGAGGGAGGGAGTAGAGAACCTGGGATTATTATTTTATTCTCCCAGAAGAGTCACAGGATTGAAGTGCATGCATGTGTGTTTAGCAGGGTCTACCTTCGGAGTGCCCAAAGTGTGTCAGGCCTGTGGAATGCCCTGGAATCTGTTAATTCAGTGGAAGTTGAACTAGTTCTCCACCCAAGGCTGAATCAGGGTTCTGTGACTTGGAGATCGCCTCTGTCATTTGGACTTCATGTTTTACAAGGCATCTTAGTAGGCTAAAGTTGTTTTTTTTTTTTTTAAATGTGGGTTATTTCTGTCCGTGGTACATTGCATCATGTTAATATGCCCTGGTAAAGAAAGCATATGCAGTTTCCACAACATATTCTGAGGTGAGAGTTCTCGATGCATTTTATTTTTACATTGACTGACCAAGAAAAGATGTAGACTTAACCATGGCAACCCTTGCGCTCTTCATGGCTTGTGCCTGAACATAATGCAGTTTCAGAATTAGAAACAACTCCATATAGAAATGAACCTGATCCAATTACAGTAGCCATGTTGTAGTCAGAATTCCAGCCCAGTGTTAGGCTGCCTGCAAGATGTTCTTAATTAAAATGTCATTTCACTTGTTTCTGTGAGCTTTTAATTTTTCTAATTCCTCTATATAAAGTACAGAGAAGAAGCTTAAAGTGTTTTTTGTGCCTGTTGCCTTTGGATTTTTAAAAGTTATGGAAATACAGTATTATGAATTTTTTACAGTTGCAAAAGTCATTAACCATGTTATCTATAGTGTTAATTCCCAGGAGTATTTGTTATGTATCTCTTATTCCAATCTGTAATGAATGGCAATATTTGTTTTACAACCTAGTCTCCTTGGTTATGTCTTAAAATACCCCTTTTTGGAACAACCAAAAACTTGACAATACTTGGAACAACCAAAACTTGACAATATTAGATTTTAACTGGTGTGTCACTGTTTCACCCATTGACATGCAATTTTACTTTCTGAATCACTGTGCCCTTATTGTGAGACTGGGTCACACAGCCCATATGCTAACTTCATTCCATACCCAAATTACTAAAGTGCAGGAAGAGGAGTTCACTTTTCATAAATCGCCATGTGAATCATCTTTGTTAGTGTATTCTCTTGTTCAATCTTTTTTGCAATTTTTTGGAAAATGTTTCCTTTGGAATCAGACAATGTCCATTGAACAAAACAATTATAATAACCACACCAGCTATGAAAGACACTGGAATATTTTATTCTTGTCAGTAACAATGGCTGCTTTATAGAATACCATCTACAGCTCACTTGGAGGGAACCTAATTGTGCATGTGAATTTGCAAGAGAAATCTGGGAAAATCATTGATTCAAGTCTGTATCGTAGAACATTTAGTTGGACAAAGCTTTTGAGCAGTAAGTAATTCCTATCTTCAAGAAAAGATACACTGGAGATGAATCTAGGATCTTCTGAGCTTTTCCCCTTGAACCTTTTTAAATTTAGGGATCTTCTGTGGAACCCTTTGAAGTTTCAATATTAAAAAAATAAAATTTAATGTTAAAATAGCAATTTAAACCTGTGCTGTAACAATTATATTCTACTACGAGGAAACATAGAAGCAGGCTTTTCTGAAATTACCAGTGTGGCATGTTTATTGTAATCAGTGGACCTTCATGGACACATTGTCAATCCAAGGCCATATTTATATTAGGGTTCTCTTTGTTACATGTTCTGTGGGCTTTGACACATGTGTAAGAACATTTATCCACTATTTTAATCTCACATAGATTGCTTTGCTGTCCTAAATGTGCTCAAGGCTATCAAGGTTCAAGGCTCCTTCCCTCCCCCGAAACCTTGTTAAGCAGTGAACTTTTTTACTGTTCCTTTTCCAGAGTGTTCTACAGGGAGAATCATAGAGTATGCCATATTTTCAGATTGGCTTCTTTAATTTAGCCACATCTGCATCTATCGTAAAATACTGAATTGTGGATTGGCCATGAAAACTCAGAATTTATAGAACAACAACATTTGGAAGAGGGAGACCACAAATCAGCATTCTCCCAAGTAAAGTTTTAATCATTAGAAGTATTTGTGTTTTAATAGAAACAACACTAGGAAATTGTTAAGAAGGTAAAGCAAAACAAAAAAAACCTTTGATTTTAGAATAAAATGTAATTGCCAGTGATTTCACTCAGCCTCTTTTAAAACTATAAAATGGAGTAATAATTGCCAAGTTATAGTAACAGTACAGTTATACAACAAAGTGCAACACAAGAGTTGGTGTGAATATTTTGGAGAAATGCAATGTAAACTTCTTGGTATGAATCAGTGTCTCTTCAGTAGGCTGCGGTTGTGTGTGGTTGTGCGGGGGGGGGGGGGGGGAGGGTGGTGGTGGCACCCTGCGTTTTAAGGAATGCCATTTAGAGAATCACATCTCTCTGTTTCCGGTCTTGGTGTTCAAGGAGTAGATTGAGACATCCTTGGGCATCGCTTGCCCTCTTGCTTCCCTTGTGATACTATTACCTGAACCAGGCCCACAGTGACAGCTACCTGGACACCTCTGGGGCAGCTCCTTTGTTTTCCAAAGAATCCTCTTAGGCAAACCATTCTCACCATTTCAGACTCCAGTACCCTAAGTGGCAAGATTGTGTCACATGGCAAGGAAGTGATGGGCCAAGGATTTAGCTTCTGAGACCACGCCCCCCTACCAGGCTCCCTCCTTTACTGACAAAATATCAAATAGCTGAAATCTGTAGTCATCGAACAGCTTCCTAATTTATAAATAAGAATTAAGGTTTTATCTTGCCTTTCAAAATGATCTACATGTGACAGCAATGCACCATGCTACTTCCGTGACCGTCCTTTAATATAAGAAACACTGTTCCTTTTTTCCATAGCATGATTAATTCATGA